TAGCACATGCTAAAACATTTTAAAATAAGGTGCAGACCTACTAAGAACACCTGACATCATTCCGAACGCAGGTGAGCTGGCTCCAAAGCAGGAGGACACAAAGGTTAAGGCACTTGAAGAGTTTTTAAAACGAGGCCCAGAGTGAAGACAAGAGTTCTCAAGGAGACAGCCATGCAGTAGTGGGAGAAGTAAAACTTTGGAATGGAGAGAGTAACTTGGCCATCAGAGCATTTATTATAAAACGATCTCTAGATGGGCGTGGTGGTGAGCACCTGTAATCCTAGCACTTGGAGGGAGGCCGGAGAATCAGGAGTTCAAAGCCAGACTTGAACGTAGTGAGCCTGAGCTCACCTATCTCAAAACAAAAATAAGTGAAATTCTGGTTTGGTATTTCTGAAATAGCCCTAAACAGCTCTGCTACTTTGTACAATACATTTACACAAAGCAGGGTTCTCGGCATTGAGCGTCATGAAATTGAAACACCCATCCACTCTGGAAGACAGGTGACCTCTATATCCAGTAGCATCAAGTATTCAGTCGAGATTGTTTTATGTAAACGTAAACAAGGATACTCATCTCATTAGTATGCAAATGATACCTTTAATAAATTATACAAATGCTGTACAACAAAGAGTTTAAGATAAATTTCCTGGTAACTTATCATCAGTAAATGTAGAGATACATACCTAATTATCTATATACTCAGGGTCCTGTAAAAATTTCTACAGGGTCTCAGGGTGTGCGGGGGAACATTTAAGCCCTGCTCTACCTTATATGACACGGGATCGGCGCTCCGACTGCACAGTCCTACAGAGCAGCCTTTAACCAGAGACAGTGGTGATACTTGTAGACAAGGTAGCCCAGGCTGGGCTGGAACTACACAGCCCTGGCTAATTTAAATAAATAGTATCCTCATGCTTAGGTCTCCCAAGTGCTAGTATTACAGATGCAAGGAACCACACGAGTTACCTAGACGTCTGAGAGGATTTTGCTCCTGATGAGACATTTGATATGTCTGGGGGAATGAGGAGGTGTTTGCTATTTAGTAGCTGGCTGCTGACACTCGACGGCACACGGGGCTGCTCCCCACAAGGAACTGCGGCCCCAAATGCCAAGCTGAAATGGAGAAACTACTTGAGAGTCGCTTCCAGACTCTGGGACGTGCTGACTGGAGGCTGAGTTCTGTTTACAAGCAGACACTCTCCAGTGCTCCAACCACTGCTGCCAGGCTGCGGGACCAGGTACTGGGCGGACGAGAAAGGGGGCAGGTAAACAAAACAAGTAAACCCCTCCCAAGTCACATTTAAGGCTCCTGAGCCCTTCTCCACCTCAATCAGCAAATGCCTACTGATTCCTGCAGTGAGGTACCCCATCTCCTCTTAATAGCAGTTCAAGAGGGCCAGGAAGGTGGCTCAGGGGATGAAGGAGCTTGCTGCCAAGCCTGAATCCTGAATTTGACCTCTATAACTCATATGGTGGAAGTCGAGAACTCAAGTCATTCTGACTTCCACATGCATACATGCACACGAGAACATACACGCACTCACTGCAGTTCAAGAAAGCAAGAGGTGTGGGGATCACACAAAGCAGGGTCTCTGGGCACATAGACTCCTAATGAAGGACGCACTTGAAAGCCTGGCTGGTATCTGTACATCTCATAGATGTGCCCTTCCTTCTTAAGTACTGAGTGTGATGCCTGACTTATCAAGTTCACCCGATTGCCAATGTGATGGTTAGAAAGAGACATGCCACATCAAAACTCCTTTTAAAATAATTTGTCTATTTAACTGTCTTGCATCTTCCTCCTTTAGAGATTTACCAAGCATCTATCTATCTACATCCCTAAGACCAGAAATCCGCATTGAAGGAATAACCAGTAAAATCGTCAGTACCCCAAAAGGGTGGGAATGGCACATGTAAACAATATAGCCCAAGACAGCTCGGGAACTGGTGGCATATAAACAGTAGATCTGAGGTGCCAGGAGAACGGATCCTTGAGACGTAGATCCCACCCCCAAAGACGGTTCCAGCAAACTCAAGAAATGGTTCTCGGCGATAGACAATACTTAAGTTTAAAGGAAGAAAACAAGGAAGAAATATTTTAATTTTTTCACAAGTATTCTTAACATCATATTTTAAATAGTTACACTAACAAGCTACAAGTTTCACAAAAATACGTATACAGAGGAATATTCTTATTTACATCCAGAGTTGCCATAATTAGGAAAGTCAGGATTCTCAGCAAAGACAATGGCTGTGTGAGATGTTTTAACATCTGAGACAGGCAAGGAGGATCCACAGAAAAGATGAACTTGGTGCCTAAAAACTCCATGAAAAAGCAAGCATCACAGTGGGCGCAGCGGGCTACACAAACAAGGCTAGGCAATTCCAACCAGAAAAGTGAGGCAGCCGAGTAAACACCTTTGTGAGGGGAGAGGCCAGCACCAGCCCTGTGCATGGTGCCAAGTGCCCAAGTGTAACGGAGCAGCTGACAATACAGTCACATCCTCTAAACTGCAGCGGACAGCGCCCTGATGCTTACTACAAGTGAATGACTTGCCCAATCCCAGCACTGGTTAGAGAAGGCCAACGTGGGCCTCTGAGTCCTATCCCTACAGGAAATGATGAGATTCAAAACAGGAAATGACAAGACTCAAAGATTTCTCATCCACAATTTCTGTCTGGGAAATGAAGAACTCTTCTGAGCAATGCTGGCGGGCCTGCAACTGTGCACAAAGGTAAGTGTGCCCAGAACAATCCTGAAAATGGCCAGAGGCTGGCATGTGACATACTAACGTTCTTACAAGAATAGTGGCTATACCCTCCTGTAAACCAAAATAAAACTTCCTGATAAAAAAGGAAATCATCAATATACTTCTCTACACTATACAAATAATCTTCCTTTTCAACCTAACGTGCAAGCATGTATTTGACTTTGATACCAAGTGGTCCGTCCAGCTGCAGACAGAAGGATGTCACCCCTGTGCTCAGTCCTTCCAAGGGACGCTAAACTCTACATCCCAATAGGATGTGAAGGGAGGCAGGGAAGAAGTGTTTCCCACTGTTCCCAGAACCCTGGAATCGGAGGGACTGAATTCAGCACGGGCAGAAGTAAAGCAGACTGGCTTTTTATGCAGCATTTTGCACATAAATCATTTCAATTAAGACAATCAATGGTTAACCCTGAAGCCGTTTATCGCAGGGTAGAATCCTCATTTCCAGTCCCAATAGTGAAAACCCAGGTGCCAGTCCTGGATAGGCAGCCACTGGAGCAGACACAGCTGACTGCACTAATAGGGGTCCTGCAGTGGCCTTCCAAGGGACACAGGACAGGAGGCAGGACAGACGGGCCCAGACACTCAGGAACACTGCTGCTTGGATTCTTTTTCTTACAGTGACTTTTACATCTTAAGAATACTGATGACAAATATATATTCTCCTAAGTAGGAAACCTCATTAAAATGGAAGCCTACTGCTATGATGTCCTGCTCAGGGTGTGAGGACAGACAAGAGAAGTAGAGGCTCCCAGCCAGTCCCATTTGGCAGTCCCATTGCTGTGTCTCTGTTTCCACAGGCAATAGTCAGGATCTGGCCCAACTGAGCGATCTCGAGCAAGCTTGCTTCCCTCATTCCTTGGGGGACTCTGTGTGGAGCTCAGTAGCAATAGGTGAACACCTGCAGCTTACTGCACTCTGAATTCGACCACGCAGACATGCTGCCAGACCAGGAAGGTGTCGCTCTGAGAGAAGAGATCTGAAGTAGCCCGCAGCTGCCATGGTGTGGCACAGCCACGGTGTCCATGGCCACCAGACTCACACCACGCGTCTAGGCACTCTACTGAGCACAAAGGCACCCACCATCACTTGTGCTTATGCCGTGATGACCTAACTGCTCAGAAATCCCTAAAGCTTGGCCCTAAGAAACCTTTTCACTTACAGAGGGGACTCTGGGGATGCGTGAGGTGAGACACCTTGGTCAAGTCAAGTCATTTGCTTGGTTAACTGCAGATGAGACAACCCAAGGGTCCTGTCAACATACTACATGTCATCACAAAAGTCTGAGCAGACACCTCATAAAAAGAAAACACAACAGTCATGTAACTTAGAAGTGTTCAAACACAGACAAGTCCTCACCAGGGCCTGGATAAATGCACATAGCCCTGGAGACTGAATCTCTGGCACGGTAGAGAAGGTCAACAGGGAGAAGCAGGAGATGACATCACAACGATACTTGTTTGCATGGCTTCATTAATTTAACTAGTTAAAAGAAAGCTGTTCGCAGCTTGGAGGTCAAAGGGGATGTTACTTCCATGTACCAACTCCCACTGGCCTTAAACATAACTAAGAAGGAGATGTAGGTGAAGTCTGACCAAATGCAACAGGCAACACACACTGTATGTCTCATTAGAAGGGCAGAGTGGCTAGCCAGTCATGGCAACACGTGCCTCTACTACCTGCGGGGTCTGCCCAGGGCCGTATCAGACATCTGCCCCACTTAACAAGAACAGAAGAGCCCACCATGAGGTCCCATGAGGTCCACCAGTGGCTGCTGAGATCTGTTTTTTTTTTTTAATTTCACAGCAGTCAAAGGAAATCAAACTTATGCAAATGTACACAATACTACTTTTGCAAACTCTGGAGCCTGGATTTGGGGTTGGCACTGCCTTCTTGTTCAGAGCTTTCAGAGGGTGAGACTGACCTTCCTTTTTCACCCACAAACTGGAAGGCAGCTGTGGCATTCACTTCACCCTGATACCCACCAACACTTTAGAAACCACGAGGGGACAGCATGTGACTCTAAACAGGGATGAATACAAAGTCCTGGTTTTCTGTTGAGTCTTTAGGCAGACTGCGAACACTACCCCTTTTCTCCTCAATGTGTGATGCTAACCACAATCAGTTCTGAGAAGTGTCTCCAAATAGCCCACTGTCAATCATAACATTGCATCAATGAATATGCTTTCAGAAAAAACAAAATATTCACAGAAGTATACAACAATCTTACCTTTAAATAAAAATACTTTATTATTCATTCCTGACATGTTATCAAAATGTACAATATTAACCAAGTAAAAATGGTACTTTGAATTAGCTGACTAGGACATATTTGGAGCATTTTAAATTAACTTTCTAAGAATAAAACCCACTTCCAGTGTCCCTTACCACACGCCCCTAAAAGCCTGCATTGTGTACTTGACAATGGATACAGCGCCCATCAAACACACAGCTGCACTTGGACACAGAAACTTACTACATTTGGGTTACCTTCCTTTCCAAAATCTGTGAGACATCTTCACTTCTTTTTATGTCTATGTAACCTTGTAAATGACAGAACACAGTGCACCTGGCATTACACTACACACACACACATACACCCACACGCGCACACACACGCACACAGAGGATAAAGTGCAGCACAGCAGATCTCGTCTATGACACTCAGTTTCTCCAGGTGAGCTGAGCAGCTGGTCCCTCAGGGAGTCGAGGCCCTGCTTTATCAGACACTGGAGCCCTAGCTGCTTTGCTTTCCCTGTGGCTTCTCTCACCAGCATCAGAAGTGTTGAAACTGAGTTGAGAAATCAACTCCCCAGAACTACAGGTGTGCTCCCTGGTGCTTTGGGAGTGCTCCAATATTTTTCTTTAGCACTCAACACTGTTTACAAAGATGTTCCCAACGAGATCTTGTCAGTAACAAGTACGGTTACAGCCACTTTGATGAAAGCAAAGCATTTAGCATGGTAGCAATCTCTACTGACCATGACACCAGACACCTGCCACTTCCGTAGGCAAGTGCCAGGCCCTAAAATGTCACAAGGTTTTGGCTGCGTGTGTTTTGACATAAAATTATTTAACTAAAAACTGCTTTTGTTCCTGAGATGAGCACATAAATTAGACAAATCCTCTATGGAGCGGCCACTAGGACACCCTGCTCCTTAGCTCCGCACACGCTGTGGGTCACACTGGAGGCCTCAGTCCTCCCCGTGGCGCCATTTCTGTGACTCGTCCTGCCGAACATCTGGTCTAATTTGGTTTCTCATGCCACCTAACACATTTGATGTTGCTTCGGTGGCTACAATTAAAGGCTTGACCACTGCCGGTGGGATCTGGCGCAGAACTTCACCCACAGCGCCGGTGACCCCTCTGCTCTCATGTTCTCGAGCTGCCGTCTCATAAATGGTCTGAGCCGTGTCTGCAATTCCCTGCAGAGGGTGGTAGGCAGAAAAGAGGAGAAAAGCACAGGTCAGAAACTAAGGTGCCATACGTCACACTTTCACACTTAGCCAACATGCCTACAACCAGACCAGAACAAAAACAAGGAAAGCAGCCAGTCGCCCTCACTCTGCTCCCTAACAGGGCCCCAGCTGTGAAGGAAGTGAACTCACCATGGCAGCATTTCTCTGCGACACTACTGTTCAGACAACGGTGCTTAGTCAGTCCTAAGCAAGGAAGCCCACAGAAACATCATGGCCTAAAAGAAACTTCTGGCCCAATGAATCCCTCTAGCTAAATACAACTCTGCAAAGAGGGTCTCTGGAGTAAGTGCTGTTGACAGAGAACCGCAGTGAGGATTCCTCTGATGCAACCCAAGAAAACTTAGATCCACTCAGTGCTCAGAACACATGTACTCTGCCTACAATTACGAGCATGTCTTAGAAAAGAAGCATGGAGCATATTCAGTTAAGATAAAGAGCCAAATCGAACACTTCACGGGGTTCCATAGAAACGTCCGAGACCTTGAGTGGGCGCCTACAGTCTGCCCCACAGCTTCAGCGGCGCCCCACCCCTGTCACAACTGCACACATGCTGGGCCGTGTCAGAGCCCAGAGCCCAACTCCACAGGACTTCAGGATGTGTGGTGCTTATGCCACTGAACTCTCTGGGTCCAATTGTGACAGCTTCTCTATGAGTACAGAAAAGACACTGAGGTCCCTAGAAAAATCCAAGACCCGTCCTAACCAGAATCTAACTGTCCATCAGACAGGCTGACAGCAAACAAGCAGCAGCTCGGGTCAGACACAAGGTCTAAGAAATGGTGGTGGAGCCAAGTGGTGGTGGCGCATGCCTTTTAATCCCAGCACTCGGGAGGCAGAGGCAGGCGGATCTCTGTGAGTTCGAGGCCAGCCTGATCTATAAGAGCTAGTTCCAGGATAGGCCCAAAGCTATAGAGAAACCCTGTCTTGAAAGAAGAGAAATAGTAGCAATATTTTAAAATAAAAAAATCTAGGGAGCTGGAGCGATGGCTCAGGTGATAGTTGATTTCAGCTGCCAACCTGGCAGGGTCAGGAAGTCCTGGGAAATGCATCTCAAGGAGGGACTGTCTGTATTAGAGGGCCTCTGCAGAGATTATCTTGACCTCAACTGAAGAGGGAAGGCCTGCCACAGCTATTGTGGATGAGCAACTCCTGGGCAGGGGCTCTCCAAGCATACACAGAGTGGAAAGGACGCAGGGCACCAGCAGCATGTGCTCACTACACTTTTCATCCTTTGACTGCAGATGCCATCTCCAGATGTTCTGAGTTCCTGCTGCCTTGATTTCCCCAACATGACACACTGTGCTCTGAACTGGGAGTTAACATAAACCCTTTCTGCCTTAAGTTCCTTTGCTCAGAGTATCTACCACAGCAACAGGAAAGACACCAGGATGCCACAGGCATAAGGACCTGGATTTTGATCTCAACACCCATAGAAAAGCTGGTGTGGAAGTGTGTGTCCATAATCTCAGCACTGGGGCTATAGATTGGAAATAAGAGAGGAAGAACTATGCTTCAGACCCAAGTCCCTGGGACCCCAAAGGCTACTTCTGTGCCGTGAGGACGGCTACACCATCTGACTGCTACCAGAATATGGTTAGAAAGCATATCTAATGAAATCCTGAGAACGAAGCCCAAGTAGAATGACCACAAACTCCGTGTATCATGGCAGGAAAAGGAAAGAAGCCAGTGAGTGTCCTGCCAACCTTGGAGGGCACCAGGTTTCACCAGCACAGCTGGTAGGCCGTAACACAGGGCACCTGCTGCCGAGCCTTATGGCCTGACTAGATCCCTAGAGCCCACAAACAGGAGAGAACCAGTTCCACACACTGGTCCTTTGACTTCCACATAAACACTGTGGCATGTGTCCCCCACAAAAGAAACAGAAAAGTAAGTAAATAAATGTAAAAACTAATGTGGAGATCCCCACAGTTACCACTAGCCAATTTTATGGGACTTCTTGCACACATGAACACACAGCTAGAAAATATTCCCATTTCAGTGTCACACAGGGAACAAAATGGGAACTAAATGCCCACCAAGAGGAAAACATGGATGGCATATTCCTATAATAAAATACTACAAGACCATTTAAATGATATTATGTGTTCATGGATGTATCTTAAAAGATGTGTTACAGGATACACAAAACACTCTTTATGCTAATTAAAATATAAACACTGCTATGTTCAACTTAGGAAGACTTACACAATCTAACTGTAAAACTGTCTAGAAAAGCTGTGACAACTTCAGAACAGTGATGGCAGGTGAATGGCGCCGGGTTGGGGATTTACCTCAAGAGCCACACTTCCTAAGCAAACCTGAGGGAAGCAATAGGAAAGCACCGACTCAGGCAGCAAACACCACTACACGAAGCTACACTCACTACCTGGCTTTCTTCTGCTTTCCACATACCAGCCACATGCTACTATTAGCAGCTTACATGCCATTCCCAACGATTCTTCTAAAACATTAAAGTCAGCGAATACTCTTTGAGGGGAAAGCCAGGTACCTGTGTTGGCTAGTTTTTATGTCAACTTGATATAAGCTAGAGTCACTTGGAATAGAACCTCAACTGAGAAATGTCCCCACCAGACTGGCCTGTAGGCAAGCCTATGGAACATTTTCTTAGTGATTAATGGGTGGGGCCATCCCTGGGCTGGTTCTATAAGAAAGCACGCTGAGCAAGTCATGAGGAACAAACCAGTAAGCAGCTCCCCTCCATGGCCCCTGCATCAGCTCCTGCCTCAGATTCCTGTTTGAGTTCCTGTCCTGACTTCCTTCAGTGATGGATTACAGTGTGGAAGTATAAGCTGGAATAAAGCCCTTCCTTTCCAAGTTGCTTTTGGTCACAGTATTTCATCAGAGCAATAGAAACCCCAACCAACACACAGAGAAAGCATGCAAGCCTGTTCTGACTTGCCAGCTCTACATACCTCTTTTACAACACTGTAGGCCTTGGCCACACCTTCCCTCAGGTCCACTGGCTGGTGGGCTAAACGGTGATGAGGAAATCTCTTTGCCTTCTTGGGCTCAATGGAAAGGGTACCTGGAGACACCATGTCATAAGCAGTCTCTGCTGCTGCCTGGGTCATTTTGTCAAAGGGAAGAGATTAATTAGAAGATAGTCTGGAGCGCTGGGCACCAGAAGTGTGGCAGTGCTCTCCTGTAGGGGTAGAGAGAACCCCCACACAGATGGCGCCTCTGCTTAAACACCCATAACAAGAGCTTAGGACTTTCACAGCGTGAACAGGGAAGGTAAGCTAAAAACTCCCATCTGGATTGAGCTGACCTACTCAAGCCCTTCCTTTTATTATCCTATGTAGCAACTTTCAACACCTATGTACAACCCTATTATATGTTCTTAAACTTAGCTCTAATCCTTTTACATAGATCAGTGAAATAAACCCCCTGCTGATTTAATAACTGTTATTTTCTTGAAATATGCAAACAGACTTGGCAAATTTGTTACCTAATGCTCAGTACTAGATAGCTAAACAACTACTAAGCACCAAACAAAGTGTGGTAGTGTACACCTGTACACACCTGAACCCTTGGAAGGCTGAGGATATAAACTATAAGGACAGTCTGGGCTACACGGCAAGACTGTCTCAAAAACAAAACAAAGTATGATAGCAAATCATTATAAATGAGATGTCTATCCTCAACACTTCACACGTCTTCATGGGATACAGGGCTCATCTGTCCAGATGAGCAGGCAGGGAATAGTACCTGTATGGTTTGAACCATTCTGTTTGTGAGCTCTAGAGCAGCCATTGCAGTTGAGGTACCAAAGGAGGCAGCACCTCTCTGGAAGCCTCTGACGATGCGGCCATCCTTCCGGTACTGCTCGATTGGCAGCCACACCAAGTCTTTGAGGCCTTGCACTAGACACAGAAATCATAATGATAACTGGAGGTGACAAGAGTCGAATCCTATGGTTCCTTGTCTCATTCTCACCACGGTCCCCAAAGGCCAGACTTCCCAAAATAAATATAGGCTGAGCCATATGTGTGATTGAAAGTATTCTAACAGTTATTCCCAAAAGCAAACTTAAATTTAATATTTGTAACCCAGAAATATCCAGAATATTTCCATTGTAATATAAAGTCATTATAAAAATTATACGTGTGTGTGTGTGTGTGTGTGTGTGTGTGTGTGTGTGTGTAAGGGAAGCCCAACCCTGAATGGAGGTTCTGACCCTGAAACTAAGGGTAAAGTTTTATGTACATGTTAATATGCACCTAGGTTTTATATTAAAAAATGTTATTTTTCATAGACTCTTAAGGAAGCTATAACTACAAAAAGATTTTAAAGACAACTCACCTAATTGAACTAGTGAATGCATAGGCCCAACACCTCCTAGGATTCCTGGTAGCTGGTTCTTCTTAATGTCAGTGAGCCATTCGGTGATTGCATATGAGAACAATTTGTCTATACCTAGCAAACTGGAAGAATTGAATGTCAACGCAAAGCAGGAATGCAGGCACACACCTAGGACTTCTCCTGTGTGAAAACTACATAGCACAGGGGCAAAACACTACAGATGCTCCAAAATATGGCAAAACATTTTTATATCATATAAATCAGCTACTAAATTCCCAATCTAAATCTCTCTCTCTCTCTCTCTCTCTCTCTCTCTCTCTCTCTCTCTCTCTCTCTGTGTGTGTGTGTGTGTGTGTGTGAGAGAGAGAGAGAGAGAGAGAGAGAGAGAGAGAGAGAGAGAGAGAAGACGAAAGACAAAGATTGACAAAGCTCAGGAAGCATGCACAAGTGAGAGTGTCCTCCATGCTCTTATCTCCTTGATCCTCCATGGCTCAGGTACAGGGCACTAACCACAACCACATCTGTGAACCCAAATTCTTGTAACCAAATAAGCCAACTTACAGCTTTAACAAGTTATCTTAAAATATCCTAAAGGAAAGATATTTAATAAGAAATACTACTCTATTCCAACTGCTCCTACACCCTCAAAACAAATATTAATTCCAGATCAGCAAGGTCCACCAGAGCTGTGCTCTCTGCAGAAAGCACAGGGCAGGCGAGCAGCTAGCAAAAGCACTCCACTTTTATCTCCACACCAGCTTAGGCCTCACTTTAAAGTCTCAGCAGGTCAGTCTACTCACCCGTGCCTATAGAAGAGCCTCTTCAGTTTTAGCTCAGAACAGTTCAACTGAGCCAGGCCAATCAAAATCCCAGCCAGTGTTCCCTGGAATAGGAAGAGTGGCCAATTAATCCATAAACTAAGGAGAGGCTCAACATTTAACATAGCTGTTACTGGGGAAGTCCAAGCAATATTCTTTTTTTGGTGGGGGAGGGAGTTCGAGACTGGGTTTCTCTGTGTAGCCCAGGCTGTCCTGGATATCACTCTGTAGAGCAGGCTGTCCTCAAACTCAGAGACCGCCTGCCTCTGCCCCGAGTGCTGGGATTAAAGGCCTGCACCACCACTTATTTTCTACCACCTGGCTACCCAATGTTCTTTAATGAAGACAAATACTTAAAATAATTATAGAGGGAAATACTTCAGAGTTACAGAAAAAATATTTTTACATGGTACAACCCACTATACCAGCTAATGATCAACAAGTATGAAATTTCACTTATAGTACTAAACATTTACTTAGAAGCACATAAAGGTGCTGGCTTCATGTTAGACACATGTACATGCATAAAGCATGACACAACAACTTCATCTGCTATATTTTTTCTTTTTCTTTTCTTTTTTTTACTGAATCTATAAGAGACAACACTGCTAAGATGGCTCAGAGGGTAATGATGACCCAAATTTAGTCCCCAGATCCCACACTGTAGGAGAGAACTGGCTCTCATAAGTTGTCCTCTGACCTCCACACAAGTGTGTCCTCTCCTCATGCATTCACTCCCTCCATAAGAAATATATGCAATTTTTAAAAGGTAATTTTACATTACATATTCATGCAAAGTTTCCACACCTGATCCATTGACACATGTTTGCCATGATAGTCAAGCCGAATAGGAACTTCTGCCGTGAATCTGAATTCTCTGGCGGGGGGGAGGGGACACACAAAGGGAGCTAGTTATATTCAAATTACTGATCATAAAATTAGACCTAACTGGTTAAAATGAAAAAACAAAACCACAAAGTAAATCAGAAGCACATCTCATGTCCTAAATATGAAAGAATGCCTTTTAGCTCCACTTTCTCTTAATTGTGACTAGACAGATAATTCTATTGTAGTTAAATGTTGTCATAAATGCCTTTTCTAGTTTATTAAATGCTTATTCTTAGAAAAAATGCTTACATATTCTCAAGTCATATAGAGGACAAATCAATAAAAATGGCCTCAAACGTCAACAAGAAGTAGATAGGAGAGGCAAGAAGTCCATCCCTGCTCAACGTGAGCAGAGACCGACCCTGGCCTGGCCTCTGCTGCTAACAACTACATGGGATTCAAGTATAGATGTCTCAGTTCTCTGAGCCTCAATTCTTCATCACTGTAAAATGGCATATCCTGGCAAATTTTGGTGAGAATCTGTGAAATGAATGCTTATGAGTAGACGTGAATATACTAACACTGGGAATTCGGGCGGGGGACAGGGGGTGGGGGGGTGAGTAAAACTACACACTGTTGATATATGGCCAACAACACAGTGAGCTGTCTTCCTACAGTTGACTGGAAACTGAATGCTCAGAACCCAAAACATGATTTTCCCCAACAGAATAAATGCTAATGGCTGCACACCAAACCACCTCAGAAAAGCCCCCGTACTTATAATAAAATGGCAATGTATTATCTATTGCAGTTAGTGTCTAAGCCTAGGTCCCAGGTCCATCCCTCATCTCTGAATGCACAGTTTATTCCCTCGGCTTTTCCTATGCCTTTCTTCTCTGTGGGATAAGATGTATTATTAACAGATAGACCCTTTGATTATTTGTATATTCAGTTAGCCAGAGATTCTTCACAGTGCCTAGATGAAGTCTGAAACACAGTAAGTGCAACAGCCACTTGCAGAAGGAAGAAGATTCTGACAGCTCCCTAGAAAGTCAGCAAGTAGACAGGTGATAATCAAGACCTTAGCCCACCACTAGCTGGTGCCTGCAGTCTAACTCTCTGAACAGGAGTAATTGAAGTACTAACACTCATTACCACCCCAGAGAGCTGCACTCTCCAGGAGAATAGAGGTGAAATCTACAATCTATTTTCCATATTTCAAATGACCTGACAAAAACATACAAAACAAACATTTGCCTAGATAAGAGGTAAAACTAAAGACTGTGGAGCCAGATGTAGTAGTATGTCTGCAACCTCAGCTACCTGAGAGACTAAGGAGGGAAGATCTAGAGTTTGAGCCTGGCCATAGTGAGACCTACCTCCATACAAACAAAGTGTCAAATTTATCGCTTCCTAAAGTTGAACTGGCATATTATTATTATGATTAATAAAAATAAGACTTAGTTATCACTAAGACACAAATCACTGGAGGAAAGTAACAGAAATGAACATTTACAATGAGATGCAGCGCCAGCAGACCTTCATCTCTGGTCCTACTTTTCTATGTGCTATTATTTCTACATCTATTTTCGTCACTATGCAGGATCTTTAAAGCACAATGACACTTCTAAATAGTGTCCACTTGGGCCACACCCAAGGTCTTCTCTCACAACACACAAAGACAGTAAAACTGGGGGCCCTGGAATGAAATGGGGTATAGAGAACAGGAAGAAGGGCTTGTTCTTTGACCCTCCTTTTTCTAGAAAAGTCAAGACTCTGTTCTGACTAACAATGGCTAGGAAAAGAGGACAGGAAGAACAGATGAATCAGCCAGGGAAGAAAAGCCTCCTGAATGAGAATGGCTGTCCACACAGGCAAGCAGCCGCAGTGGTGCAGGGCACCTGAGCTTTCCAGGATGCTCTTTTGCCTCAGGAGGAATGATGAAAAGCAGACTGAAGACTCAGCAGAAGGGAAAAAGCAGTGTGCGGAGAGGCCAGAGGGCAGCCCCATGCTGAAGAACAAACACACTCTAAGACCTGAAAGGGGGCAGCGGGAGGAAAGAGGAACTTCCATCACAGATTAAATAACAGACAAGCTCTGAAACCAGGGTTACTCTGCACAAACAAGGGGCAATAGTTAGACAGGGACCACAGGCAAAAAGGAGCATGAGTCACATAGTAATGCGAAGAACCACTGATGGCCCTCAGACTTGTCAGTTCACTGACACACTCCAGAGCCATCTTTAACTCCATAGAACTTCATTTGTTAATAAATTAATATACTTACCTAAAAAACACAGGCTGGTCACTAAATGAAGCTTCCTCAGCTGAGAAGTCCTTCTCCGCCAGTCCATTAGCCCCCTCCACTGAATTGGCACTATGGTTTGGGGAAGATTGCTTTGGCCCAGGGAAAGAAACAACTAGATTTGGCTCCTTTGAGGTACTCAAATGCCTTGGCAAACTGCAGGTGACATCAGCTCCAGGAGACTTTGTAACTGCAAACAAGAGGGGCGCATTTGAAGGCAGCTCTGCTACTTTCAAGCACCATGGCAATCGATACTGATCAGCCTGAGTGTAACACTCACTGAGAAAATATAGCTCCTATTACAGATAAAATCTGTTCCCACCCTTACATCACTACTGTTACATATACCCATTTGTATTAATTAATATGGAATGTACATATATGAATAGGAATAAGCTCTGCAAGTATATTCTTAAAAGTAACACACAGCAATTAAAATCAGTCTAAGTACATCCAGTCCTGATTTAGCAATAAACTAACTTAAAATTTTTCCACTTCACAATGGAGAGAAGCATGTACATTCTGTAAAAACTGTACTTGGGACCTACCCAACACCCCCCCCAAGCTCAGAGAAACTCTGAAGCACAGACTGCAACTGCACAGAGCTGACCAAGAGCAGCTCCTAAGACACAGGCAGCAACTGCAACAATCAGTCCAAGAGAAGACCCTTGAGTCACAGACACCAACTGCAAGGATGGGACCAAGAGGCAAAGACATGGCTGGCACCAAATGAAAAAAGAGATGGGTAGGCACCAAAGCCTACCTTTTAGGTTGTTCATTCAACAACCTAAAAGCAACATGGTAACACCAGAACCAGTGGTCATACAACATGAAAACCCAATTATCTAACCCAGAAGAAGCAGAAGAAAAATATCTTAAACATAACTTTATGAAGATGATAGAGGCACTTAAAGAGGAAATAAAAAATTCTCTTAATGAAACGGAGGACAAGACAAACAAAAAGTTGGAAGAAATCAGTAAATAGCTTAAAGAATCCCAAGAAAACCAAGAAATAACAATCAAACAGGTGAAGCAAACAGATCAAACAGTTCAAGACTTGAAAAGAAGAAAATACAAACCAAGGAAATTCTGGAAATGGAAAATCTGGGTAAATGAACAAGAACTACAGAGGTAAGCATAGCCAACAGAACACAAGGGATGGAAGAGAGACTATAAGAAGCTGAAAACACAATGGAGGAAATAGATTCATCGGTTAAAGAAAATGTTAAATCCAACAAAATCTTTACAAAAAAACATTCCGGAAATCTGTGACACCATGAAAAGACCAAACCTACAAATAATAGGGATGGAAGAAGAATAAGATCTCCAGCTCAAAGGTACAAAAATATATTCAAGAAAATCATAAAAGAAAACTTTCCCAACCTGAAGAAGAAGCTTACAGAACACCAAATAGACTGGACCAAAAAAAAAAAATTCCCCTCACCTCGTCATATAATAATCAAAACACGCAGAATAAAGAAAGAATATTAAGAGCTGCAAAGGGAAAAGACCAAGTAAAATATAAAGGCAGACCTACAGAATTACACCCGACATCTCAATGGAAACCATGAAAGCCAGAAGGTCTTGGACAGATGTGCTTGCAGACACTAAAAGACCATGAATGCAAGCCTAGACTGATACAAGCCAGCAAAGCTCTTTCATTCACCATAGATGGAGAAAACAAGATATTCCATGATAAAACTAACAAACCTATTCATAAACCCAGGCTTACAAAAAGGACTAGAAGGAAAACTCCAACCCAAGAAAGATAGCTGCACCCACAAAAACACAGGCAACAGATAACCTCACACCAGTAAAGTCCAAAGAAGGGAAACACACAAACACTACAACCGAAAAATATCAGGAATTAACAATTACTGGTCATTAATATCTCAGTATCAATGGACAATTCGCCTATAAAAAGACACAGGCTAACAGAAGAGATACGAAAGTGAATCCAACCTTCTGCTGCATCCAAGAAACACACCTCAGCCCAAAGACAGACATTACATCAGAGTAAAGGTGTGGGAAAAGATTTTCCAATCAAATGGCCTGAAGAAATAAGTGGGTGAAGCTATCCTAATATCTAACAATATAGACCTCAAACTAAAATCAGAAGAGATAGAGAAGGACAGTTCATATTCATCACAGAAAAAAATTTAACAAGATGAAGTCTCAATCCTGAACATCTATGCCCCAAATGCAAGAGTTACCTACATATGTAAAAAATTACTAAAGCTTAACATACAAATATCTAACCTCATATAGTATAATAGTAGGAGACTTCAACACCCAAACTCTCACCAATGGACAAGTCAACCAGATAGAAACTTAATGGAGAAAAAAGAGAACTAACAGATGTCATGACTCAAATGAACTTAACAGACATCCATAGAACATTTCAACCAAACACAAAACAATATATTTTCTTCTCTCAGCACCTCATGGAACCTTCCCTAAAAAAAAAGGAATAATGCCCTGTGTCTTATCAGATCACCATGGTTTAAAGTTAGAATTCAACAACAACACTAATTGCAAAAAAGCCTACAAACTTATAAAAACTGAGCAGTGCTCAATTGTACCCCCCTGGGTCAAAGAAGAAATAAAGAAATTAAAGATTTTCTAAAATCCAATGAAAATGACTGCACAACATACCCAAACCTATGGGACACTATGAAAGCAGTGCTAAGAGAAAATTTCACAGCATTAAGTGCCTACATAAAGAAAGTAGAGAAATCTCACACTAGCGACTTAACAGCACACCTGAAAGCTCTAGAACAAAAAGAAGCAGACTCACCCAGGAAGAGTAGATGATAGGAAATAATCAAACTGAGGACTGAAATCAATAAAATAGAAACAAAGAAAACCATACAAAGAATCAATGAAACAAGGAGCTCGTTCTTTGAGAAAATAAATGAAATAAACAAACCCTTATCCAAACTAATCAAAAGGCAGCGAGAGAACATCCAAATTAACAAAATTAGAAATGAAAAGGGGTATATAACAACAGATACGGAGGAAATCCAGAGAATTATTAGATCATACTTCAAAAACCTGTACTCCACAAAATTGGAAAATGTAAAAGAAATAGACAACTTTCTGAACAGGTACCACATACCAAAATTAAGTCAAGACCAGACGAATAATTTAAATAGACCTATAACCTGTAAGGAAATTGAAACACTCACCAAAAGCTTCCCAATCAAAAAAGTCCAGGGCCTGATGGTTTCAGCAAAGAATTCTACCAGAACTTAAAAGCTAATGCATAGGCTTCTCAAATTGTTCCACATAATAGAAACAGAAGAAAACATTGCCAAACTCTTTTTATGAGGCTATAATTACCCTGATACCCAAATCACACAAAGACTCAAACAAGAAAGAGAATTATAGAATAATATCCCTCATGAACAATGATGCATAAATACTCAATGAAATACTAGTAAACCAAATGCAAGAACACATCAAAAACTCATCCACTAGGATGAAGCTGGCTTCATCCTGGAGATGCAGGGATGGTTCAACCTACGAAAATCTATCAATGTAATTCACCATATAAATAAACTGAAAGAAACAAAAACATCCAATCATCTCATTTGACGCTGAAAAAGAATTTGACAAAATGTAACAGCCATTCATGATAAAGGTCTTGGAGAAATCAGAGACACAAGGAACATATCTAAACATAATAAAAGCAATATACAGCAAGCTGATAGCCAATAACAAACTAAATGGAAAGAAACTCAAAGAAATTCCACTAAAGTCAGGAATAAGACAAGGCTATCCGCTCTCTCCATCTCTTCAACATAGTTCTTGAAGTTCTGGCTAGAGCAATAAAACAACAAAAGAAAACCAAGGGGATACAAATTGTAAGGGAAGAAGTCAAACTTTTGCTATTTGCAGATGATATGATAGTATACATAAGTGACCCCAAAAACTCTACCAGGGAACTCCTACAGCTGATAAATACCTTCAATAATGTGGCAGGATACAAAATCAACTAAAAAATAACCAGTAGCCCTCTTATATACAAAAGATAAAGAAGTTGAGAAAGAAATCAAAGAAATATCACCCTTTACAATAGCCACAAATAATATAAAATATCTTGGGGTAACACTAAACAAAGAAGTGAGACACCTGTTCAACCTGAACTTTAAGTCTTTGAAGAAAGAAATTGAAGAAGATACCAGAAAATGGAAAGATCTCCCATGTTCGTGGATAGGTAGGATAACATAATAAAAAGGGCAGTCCTACTCAAAGTAATCTATCAATTCAATGAAATATCCCTCAAAAATCCAACACAGTTCTTCACAGACCTTGAATAAACATTACTCAACTCATATGAAAAACCAGGATGGTCAAAACAATCCAGAGTCATCACCATCCTTGACATGAAGCTCTAATATAGAGCTACAGTAATGAAAACAGCTTTGTATTGACATAAAAACAGACAGGTTGACCAATAGAATCAAATTGAAGACCCTGATATTAATCCATATACCTACGAATATTTGATTTTTTACAATGAAGCTAAAATTATACAGTGGAAAAAAGAAAGCATTGTCAACAAATGGTGATGGCATAACCAGATGTCAATATGTAGAAGAACATAAATAGATCCATATCTATTCCCATATACAATACCCAAGTCCAAATGGCTTAAAGACCTCAAACTAAATCCAATCACACTGAACCTGATAGAAGAGAAAATGGGAAGCAATCTTCAACGCATGGGTACAGGAGACCACTTCCTAAATATAACACCAGTAGCACAGACACTGAGAGCAACAATAAATAAATGGGACCTCCTGAAACTAAGAAGCTTCTAAGCAAAGGACACAGTCAATAAGACAAAAAGGCAGCCTACTGAATGGAAAAAGATCTTCACCAACCCCACATCAGACAAAGGACTGATATCCAAAATATATAAAGAACTCAAAAAACTAGACTTCAAAATACCAAATAATCCAATGAAAAAATGAGGTACAGATCTAAACAGAGAATTCAATGGAAGAATCTCAAAGACACTTAAGGAAATGTTCAACATCCTTAGCCATCAGGGAAATGCAGATCAAAATGATTCTGTGATACCATCTTACACCAGTCAGAATGGCTAAGATAAAAAACACCTCTTATGTTTTGCTTATGCTGGAGAGGCGGAATAAGGGGAACACTCCTTCCTCCACTGTGGTGGGAATGCAAACTTATACAATAACTCTGGAAATCAGGGTGGCAATTTCTCAGAAAATTGAAAATCAACCTACCTTAAGACCCAGCAATACCACTCTTGGGCATATACCCAAAGGATGCTCAATCATACTATAAGGACATTTGCTTAACTATGTTCATAGTAGCATTATTCATAATAGCCAGAACCTGGAAACAACCTAGATGCCCCTCAACCACAGAATGGATAAAGAAAATGTGATACATTTACACAATGCAGTACTACTCAGTGGTGAAAAAAAAAAAAACCGACATCTTGAAATTTGCATGCAAATTGATGGAACTAGAGAAGAAAACATCCTCAGTGAGGTAACCCAGACCCAGAAAGATGAGCATGTACTCACTCATAGGTGAATACTAGCTGTAAAGCAAAGGATAATGAGCCTATAGTCCATGACTCCAGAGAAGCTAGATAACAAGGAACCCTAAGAGAAACATACATAGATCCCCCTGGGAATGGGAAATAGATCTCTTGAGAAAATTGGGAGCATGGGGGTTGGGGGAGAAGAAAGGACAGGAGGGGAGAAGGAAGGGAAAAGGGAAGGGGAAGGGGAGAACTTGAGGAAATGGGATGATCAAGATGGCAGAGGGACAGAAACGGAGAGCAAGAAAAGAGATACCTTGATTGAGGGAGCCATTATGGAGCTAGTAAGAAACCTGGCACTGAAGACATTCTTAGGAATCCCCAAGGATGACCCCAGCTAAAACTCTAAGCAATGGTGGGAGAGGATGCCTGAACTAGCCTTGCCCTGTAGTCAGACTGATGACTATCTTAAATGTCATCATAGAACCTTCATCCAGCAACTGACGGAACAGATGCAGAAATCCACAGTGTACCACTGGGATGAGTTCCTAAAGTCCAGTCAAAAAGTGGGAGGAATGAGAATATGAGCAAAGAAGTCAAGACCATGATGGAGACACTCGCTGAAACAGCTTACCTGAGGTAATGGAAGCTCACTGACTCTGGCCTAACAGTGAGGGAAGCAGCATAGGACCAAACTAGGCCCTCGGAATGTAGGTGACAGCTGTATGGCTGGGGCAGACTGTGGGAACACTGGCAGGGAGACCAGGATTTATCTCTACTGCTTGTACTGGCTTTTTGGAACCCACTGTTTTTGGAGGGATACCTTGCTCAGCATAGATATTAATGGGGAGGGCCTTAGTCCTGCCTCAAAGCAATGTTCTAGACTTTGTTGATTCCTTATGGGAAGCCTTACCCTCTCTGAGTAGTAGTGGATACGGGGTAGGATGGGGGAGTGGAGGGAGCAAGAGGAGTGGAGGGAGTATGAACCGGGATTGGTATGTAAAATGAGAAAAGATAGTTTTTTTTTTAAAAAAAAAAAAGGAGAAAAAATACGGTATTTGGAATATGAACTCTGAGCTTTTCCTAGCAGTGTGCAGTTCTGTGCTCTTGTAGTGTTTGTTGGGTGCCCACCGCCAGTCACAGCTCTTTAGTCAGCAATAGGGAAAACAATCAGTACTCTACAGTAGTGTGCTGCTGTCATCACTAAGGGGGCTCCAGGCACTAGCTTCATTTCTGAGCTACAATACTCAGCTTACAAAGGCATTATCCCGAGTAAGGCCTCCGTACGCACCACAGAACCCTCAGACTGCATGTGTTAAGTACCTTCTGGATCTGGAGTTAACAGAAGCTCCACTTCTGTAGAAAGACTTGTGAAGAAATCCTTGAGGAAGAACAAAGCGTCCTGGAATGGAGACAAGTCACTGTCACTACAGGACAGTCTGCATCAGTCCCCACTCCACAGCCGCCACTGCACGTCTCGTCGGCTCTCCCCATCATCTGTTCTTGTCACACATACAAGCCCAGCATCCCTATTATTTTTTACAACTATGAAAAAAATTAAAAACATAAACACAGAGAAAGTAAAAACTGAATAGCTAGGAATGGGCAGGGTGTGGTGGCACTCTCTTTTAATCCGAGCAGTGGTCTACATGGAGGTCAACCTGGTTTGTGTCACCAGTTCCAGGACAGTTGAGACTACTCAGACCCTGTCGCAAAATAGAAACAGAAACAAAACAAAACACAAACGACTAGGAAAAATTTCTAAATCAAAGTGCACTTCTGTTTTCTTTGAAAGAAAAATGTTCTCGCTTGCTCTTAAGATGTGTTCTCAGTCTAAGTCAACAGTGGTGACATCACTATTCATAGCATCAGACGGTACATCTTACATATTTACCTTGTGCCACTAAATTACCTAGAACTTATTTCTTCTTTAATCATTACTATATTGTCTTAAGACAGTTCCTTCATTGAACAAGATATTCAAAACACAAATTTGAAGCTCTGTGATGGACATGCCCATAAACCCAACATTCAGGAAGCTAAGGCAGGAGGATTGCCAAGAACTCAAGAACGCCTCAACTACATAGCAAATTCCATATTAGCCATGTTAGAGCAAGACTCTGTCTTTAAAAAAAATAAATAAATACAAACTAAATCAGCCACTCAATATAGTCTCTTCTGCAAGCATATATGAAAAGCAAAGGTGTTGGCTCTGGGCTCACACCCCCTCCAGTTACCAAAACACTGAGCTGGTAAATGCAGGCCATAAAACACAAAATTGAAAGCCTAAGTCCATTCTTTCCTATCCTTCCCTCCATCAGAAGCATTAAATTCTATAAAAAATTAACATTGCATCCAATACAATGTGACTATGAGGTACATGGTCACAATATTGGTTCACAACAAGAAAGTATGACTCCTAGTTTCCAATGATGTGGAATGTCCTTCTGTACATGTGGTGCTTTTACTGGTTGATGAATAAAACTGCTTCAGCCAACGGCTTAGCAGAGTAAAGTCAGGTGGGAAATCTGAACAGAGACAGAGTAGGCAGAGTGAAGGAGACACCATGTAGCTGACAAAGGAGAAAGATGATGGATCTTACTGTAAGCCACAGCCTTGTGGTGATACAGACTGATAGAAATGGGTTAATTTAAGATGTAAGAGCTAGCTAGAAATACACCTGAGCCATCGGCCAAACAGTGTTGCAATTGATATTGTTTCCATGTAATTATTTAGGTCTGGGTGGTCAGGGAACAAAAAAGCAGTCTCCATTTACATAATGGTATCCCATGTGGGGCAATGTACATCCACATAAAGCCTAAGAAAACTTAAAAAAAAAGCACGTCAAGACCCACAAAAAACAGGAGTCAATTGGAGTTTCACGGTAGCCACATAGTTTCAAATAGGCTCTGTGTGCTGGCAGTGAGCAGAGGTGTGGCTCCTTTCAAAACAAGGCTTCCTAACTCAGCGTTAGCAGCATAAACTGCATGGCTTGTTTAAGAGCCAGCTTCCTGGTTTGTGCTGGTGACCAGTATGGCTCTGACTTTTTCGGAAGGTACTGCTATGGAGCACTTAAATGGAATTTGTGAGACCCACTATATCCCTGTAGTTGGGGCAGTGAGCATGGCTTGCTCACTGTGGATTCCTTCTAGGCCAATGTGGCTTGATGGAATAAGAGCTGCCAAAAGGTCTCCAAGAACCCTAAAAATACTTCATCCAACAAACAGTAGGAAGCAGTTTGGAGAAAACAACACCCACATTCTTATAATTATTGTTTATAAATGTTTGTTTTCATTTAAAGAGGGATATGGTGTAGAAATAAATACTTTGCATTGGTATAGAGCTTGGTCTATTGATACAGATTTAAGGTTGATTTTGTTACACTGTGTATATGTATTTCTGCTCTTGTTTAAGGTACTATATTTATACAGCTCATTTAAAATGTAATGTATATTTAAGAAATACAGATTAATAGATAGTCATCTATAATAATCAAACCTTTAAATACGTTAGGTTTTCTAGACATACAGAGGTATATTTCAGTTAGATAGACAGCCTTCAAAGACCTACAGAATATGGCATTTAAAATGTTTTAAAAACTTAAAGAGTTTTCTCAACAATGAGACATGCCTGCCTTGGGCAGCACCAATTACTTCAAGATGATGGGCATCAAAGAAGCTCTTTATGTAATTTGCTAGTCATTTGAGCAAGAAACTGCTCTTGCATGGAGTGCCTGATGGCATGCTGTATGAACTGGACATGCAGGACCCACAGAAAAATGACTGCTGAAATTGTCTAAAACAGGTCAGACAGTCCTTTAGGGTTCCTGCTTCATGAAAAGAATCTGTCAGACATTCTGCAGGATACAGAAAAAAGTGACTGACAAACTGCCAATATAGATGAAACAATCTTTGAAATTTCCTGTTTCATGGAAAAGTCTGCCAGATACTATGAGCCTGTAGGCTGAAGATGGATGACTCAACATTACAGAAGAACTTTGGGTGACTATCCAGGTAGCAAGAAGTCTCCATCAACTCTAGAGTTTTGGACGTTGCTTACAAGGCACTTCCTGTTTACTTAAGTAATATTAGATCCTTCTGGGGTCTTTGATGTAGTTGAAGACAGATAGTTATAGCTTTCCTCAGTTTTGATAAAAGATAAATTAGATATAAAACTTTAGATATAGACTAAATATTTTAACTGTAATTCTTGCTTGATACCTGTTTTGTTATATGTAATTTTAATATGTTAAAGTTAAAACCTTCCTTTTTAATTAGACAGAAAAGGGGTGATGATGTGAGATGTCTGTCTGTATATGTGTTGCTTTTATTGGTTGATGAGTAAAGCTGTTTCGGCCAATGGCTTAGCAGAGTAAAGCCAGGTGGGAAATCCAAACAGATATATACAGAGAGAGTAAATGGAATCAAGGAGGTGCCATGTAGCTACCACGGAGAAAGATGCCGGAATCTTACCAGTAGGCCATAGCCTCATGGTGATACATAGATTATTAGAAATGGGGTAGTTTAAGATATAAGAGCTAGCTAGAAATATACCTAAGCCATTGGCCAAGCAGTGTTGTAATTAATATTGTTTCTGTGTGATTACTTGGGTCTGGGCAAAAACAAATAAGCAGTCTCTGCTTACATGCAAGAATTTAGTTACTTGCCATCCCATTTATATTTAAATAATGCAGGTGACAATATTCTAGGTAATATGGTGCCTAGAAGTCTGAGATAATTCCACCAATACCTGGTTCTGAGGCAGGTAGCAGGTTCACAGAGGGTTCATTATTGTGTCATGTTCAGCACATGTACATGTACTGTACCTGGCACTGTTTACACTGTACATGCTTAGTACATGTTCATATCATACTCAGCATTGCATGTTAACTAACAGGATATAAAATATTGTTCTTTAACCACCACTAGATGATGACAGCTTAAAGTTGTGAATGCTTTAATTCCAACACTGTTCAAAAAAAGGAAAATATTAAATATAGATTTGATCTTGAAGAAAAAAAGAAATACTAAAGACACACAAGAAACCCTGGCTCTCTTATGATGTTCCTTTTACTACGGTATTTACATTTTGCTGCAAAATGTGCACATCAGAAACACCTCACAAGAGAAGATACAGTGATGGTTAATAAGAATGTGAAAAGAGGCTACACATAGTCAACCATCAAGGAATCCCAAATGAAGATACAGAAACATTAAATACAACATCTAAAATTTAAAAGATGACAGAACCAAGTTTGGCCAGGACAAGAAGCACCCAGAACACTTATTGGCTACTAGTGGAAAACAGTTAATGCTCATAGTAACTGAAGGACCTAGAAGTTCTGCTTTTATTTATTACACGTATGTAGATGCATGTATGAATATGTGAAAAATACACATACATGTACATTACCCAAGTGAAAAGAAAAATATGTCCATAAACACGTCTATACGAATTTTCACAATGGCCTCATTTATGAACACTAAAAGTGTGAGCCAGCAGGCAAATGGGTGAGCTGGGGCCCATGCGTGGTAGGCGACACCTACAAAATCAAGCTGTGACAGAGGAACCCACAGACAATCCAGAAGAAGGAAGCCAAATGTGCTTCTGTTTATACAGAGCCACAGCCAGGGAAGATGTCACTCTGAGGTGGGAAGAAAACTGATGGCTGTTTCGAGATGGTGAGGCCCAATTACACAGGGGAGAGAAAATATGCATTTCATACAGCATAGCATTTCATATAGAGTAGCTAGCAACTCTGCAAGAAAAACATATCTATCTCCACTGCATGCTTAAAATCTCTATACTTCATAAGAGTATTTTAGCATAATCATTTAAAAATTTAAAATTTAGGTTCAGTAGTCAGTGTTAAACTTTGACTGTAAAACATTTATACCTACCTAGCCTGATGTTCTATGATGGAGCGGATTAATACTACTGTGTTAAAGAATTACTTTAATGCCATGCTCACCCTGTGACATAGGATGATACCATGTGGCCATACAATTTCAATTTTCCTCACTGTTTTCTCTAAGATTAATATTTCTCCCTTTTAAAGTAACTGTGCTTTACAGTTCTACAGAAGGAACTACAGTCAAAATTAAATTAAAGAAAATTGAGCTCGCTAAGTTTGGTAAGGTCATGCAATAAAGATAACTCTGAGTCAGTCTTCTCATGGTAGGAATTTCCACAGATCAATTTCCCAATAAACATTTCACTGTATTTTTAGTAAGTCAGCACATGGATAAATTGAATTAAAATAGAGATATCAAGGGGACTGGAGAGATGGCTTAATGGTTAAGAACCCAAGTTTGGATCCCAGGGCCCACACTGAGCAACTTACAACCACCTATAACTTTAGTTCCAGGGAATCTAAAGCTCTCTTTTGGCTTCTGTAGGTACCTATACACAGGTGTGCAAATACTCACATACATACATACATACATACATACATACATAAACACAAAAAATACACATGAATAAAAAAATCTTTTTAAAATATGTATATCAAAGATATTTTCATAATGAAAAATATGAATCTGAAGTTTGACCAGTTCAGAACCTGCAAGCATTACATACATACTGCCTCTGTCATTAGAGCAAAGCCCAAGGAAATTTGATAGGATACTTGTCCAAACATAAAAGGATTTTCTTTACAACTCCCCATAAATTTGTTTATATTTATGGCCTCTTTACTTATGCCCTATTTATTATTTTGTTATTTTGCCTAGCACAGAAAAATTCTCTTGCAAAATCTGTAACATCATCCCTTCTAACATTTAACACATGCAAGAGTCCTTTAAGTCTCTAAAATTACGATACCTAAGTTAGGTGCCCATATGGAGTGAAAAAAGAACTCAGTTCCATATCACACATATCAGCAGGACACGGGGATGACACCAAAAGCTCAGACTTCAGACTTTACAAGGGACAGCGTTGCAGAAGTCTTAACTGCGCAACTCTCTCAGAAGTTCAGCAGTACTAACATAGACATAGATACTCCCTTACTCTAATCCTAACTGCACCAATTTGCATACAACACAAACCTGATCGATATTGAGGCGAAGAGGCATCAGTGACACCCTCAAGCAGCACTCCTGCGGTAACCTACCAGACTCTGGACGGACGTGCAATGCTTTAATTGTCAACTACAAGAAAGAGAAAAAAAATTTCCCTGGTGACATAATGACCTTGCTTTCATTTAAAAAAAAAAAAAAGAAGTAAACAATCATATTTCCAACTAAGAAAAATATCAGAATTTTGAGTTTTGAGGCCAGCCTGGGCTAGACAGTGACACTTTGCCAAAGAAGGAGTAGGAAGATTATATTTACCCTCCTTCCCTAAAAGCCTGTTCAACAGCAAATGACAACACTGTGGCTTCAGGCTCAGTGGAGCTTGCTGAGCTCCCCATGTTAGTGGACAGGCCCATCTTCCAGAGCCAGCCTGCACTAGACCTCCAGAGTCTAGAGCTTGACATTCCCCCTCACTAACACTTAAAGACTTCTAAGTGTGAAGGGCTGACAACATCCTTATTATTTTCACATGGTTCTGTTTTACCTAAGCGGTGACAGATCGGCAATTATAGTTAGGACATGTAGTCTGTAAAATAATTCTTGAACACAAAACTTAAAATAGTATATTTAACAGGAATTTTCATATTAAAAAGAGAAAACACACTTTTCCATTTCCGGTAATTCTCCCCACTCTAATTAATTCTACTGCAGTTAGACACAAAAATGTTTTTCCAGAACTAACGAAAAGAGCAAGGCTTCAAGGCATCTTACCATGTTGGAATGAGCTTTACGAGGCATGTCTTTGCTGCAATACAGGTATAAAAATTTATTCATCTGTGATGTCGCCAGCCGATCTCTAATTTCAAGATCCTGAACGATGAACACCTGCCTGGAGACCGGGTATTCTAGGAGGCTGGACTCACACTCGGGCTTACATGGAGGGTAGACTTCATGCTGAAACTTCACCTTCACACAAGAACAACACAGCAATATTGACTTTCACTTGAATTTGGCTTTCTCCTTTTGGGGGGCGGGGAGTCTATGTATTTATATTTCTGTGGCTGAGTGTGTCTATGCACCATGTGCACGCTGTGCCTGCAGGTCAGAAGAGGGTACTGGATCCCCTGGAACTGAAGGCAGAGCTGTGAGCCTCTCAGCCAAGCTAGCATTAAATGGATATAAATGTCATCAGTGCTCTGTCCTGTGGTCTCAGACGTTCACAGCAGGACCTTCTCTAGGTGCGCCCCAAAGTCAGGCCTTCCCAGACAGACAATTCAATAGAGAAAGGCAAATGCTAGGCAAAGCTCGGAAACATGGATCATACAAAAGCTTCAGGGAACTCTATTTCAGGAGTGGCCTGGGAAAACACCTCAGGCTTTTCAAAGTATCAAAGAAAAAGGTGAGCCCTATACTCTATAAGTCAGGGGCTGAAGGCTTCTGGTGGGTGTGACCAGAAACCTCCACCTCCAATACGCCTACTGAAAAGATTCTTCTCTTTCAAAACAACATCTTACCTTGCTTAATTGGATTTCCATTAAAAAGTCATGGTTTCTTCCTTTGCCCCCATAGACTGTATGACGGCCATGCCTTGTAGGTGTTTGAGAAGGTGAGCTATGGGGACTACTAAAGATGGAGAAAGAGAAAAAAATTAAAACAAAAACAAAAAACTCTGTAAAAAGCCGGGCAGTGGTGGCGCATGCCTTTAATCCCAGCACTTGGGAGGCAAAAGCAGGTGGATCTCTGTGCGTTCGAGGCCAGCCTGGGCTACAAGAGCTAGTTCCAGGACAGGCTCCAAAGCTACAGAGAAACCCTGTCTCGAAAAACCAAAACAAAAAATTCTGTTAAAAGAATATTCAATTTAATGAATGACATCAGAAAAATTAAGATACAAAAAAATAAGATACATGGTAAAAACATTACAGAACTACTAGAATGTTCCACAAATTGTGACACTATAAATCTAATCTTATCACTTAGCCAGGAGTGGTGGTGCAATCCCAGCATCTGTGGCTAGAGCAGTACAAGCAGCCTTGTATCACCTGAGCCAGAGTGAGCTGAGTGGGACAGCATATGCCCACCACGTGCATGAGAGGCTTAAGTCCCAACACCACGAGGGAAACATGTCATTTATATTTTGGATACACTGAAAATGCAATTTTTTTTACTGCCATTTTAGTAGGCATTCGCTTGTTAAACATTGAGACCTAAAGAAAAACCTAATTATGATGCTGGACACCGAACACACTTGGAATGAAGCCTCTGTAACTTTTCATTTTGTCTCAGACATCCAAATCAACAATAGAGCTCCACCAGGACAGAAGCATTCCAAATTCATCAGTAAGTAGAAAAGGTTGCTCAACTGCTGTGCCAAACGGTTCTTCTGGGCAGCTTCTGTGCTACCCCATCCCACTGATACATTTGCTCCAGCACACCTACGCTTTCCACTCATTCTCTCCTCCCACTATGGAACACTGCTTTGCTTGGTCATCAGCTCTGGGGATGGAGAGGTGGCTCAGAGGTTAAGAGCACTGGCTGCTCTTACAGGGAATCTGGGTTCGGTTCCCAGCACCCACATGGTGGTTCAACCATCCATCCATAACTGCAGTTCTAAAGGATCCAACTCCCTCTCCTGACTCCAAGAGTATCAAGTATGCATGCGGTACACAGACACTGACAGACAAAACATATAAAATAAGTAGGGCTTTTTTTAAAAAAGTTTAAAAAATGAAATACTTGGCTCTGCTCCATATCCTGTGAGATGCTGGGGGCCCAGGGCAAGCATGAACTCTGCCTCCTGACACACTCACTTCATTTGACGGACCCAATTCAGTCATAGAACCTTTCCTCCCTTTGAAACTTTGGGCAAGAAATGGTATCATTTTCATAAACAGGCACATGATGGGTAATGCTTGCTAAGCAAATATCTTCTAAGTCAACATTTTAGTAAATACACAAGAAATACAATAAGTTCACAGCTAACTTTAGGTGTAAGATTTAAATTACATACTTGAATATTAATATATTCTTCCTGTAAGATAAATACCAGGGTTGGCGAGACGGCTCAGTGCTTAAGAGCACTGACTGCTTTTCCAAAGGTCTTGAGTTCAAATCCCAGCACCCACATGGCAACTAACAATCATCTGTAACCCTATTTCCAGGGATCCAATGGCCTCTTTCGGCCTCTGTGAATACTGCCTATGTGGTGTATAGACATACATCCCCATAAAACAACCATACACATAAAAATAAATAAATATTAATAAAAAAGATAAATGTTTTTCTATGGACAGGTATAATATTGAGCCATTAACTGAGCTTACCTGTAACTCTTAGCTGGAGAAGGAGGAGGAACTGTTGTGAAGTCCTTGCCTCCATAGAGATGCCACACCAGAGAGACTTCCTTCACAACATAGCGAATGTCAGGGACAGGAAACTTAAGCGGGGCTTTGCTGCCATCCGTCCTTGTAATGGGCAGACTAAAATAGTCGTCTCTTATCACAATCGCGTCGTCAACCATGACCTTTACCACTGGCTCTTCTTCCTTCTCCTGAAACACACCAACAGGGCATGCTCACTCACCACAAACAACTGGTATGCCTCACAGGACAGCGGGCTTTCTTGAGTCTACATTTTTTTCCAATAATTTCAATATATAAAACAGTGTAATAATTTATTTTCTTTGAAATGGAGTCTCATACTGTAGCTCTGATTAGTGTGAAATTCGTTAGGTAGTTGAGACTGGCCTTAAACTTGTAGCAATCCTCCTGCCTCCTGAGGTCTGGGATTACAGATATGTACCACCACATTCAGCTTGAGCAATAATTTCTGACATTAATCATCACATAATATATCATACTTTACTGATCATAAAATAAAATCTGCTCCATAAAAATCACCTCATGAATAATTTCTAAAGTTTATAATTTGGCTTGTACTATTTGATAATTGAAAGTATACAGACTGCGTGTGTGTGTGTGTGTGTGTGTGTGTTTGATTACAGTTAAAAGTCATACTGCATTCTAAACCAAAACCTGACAAATTTCAACTTACTATTCAAATGATCATGTTTTGAATTAAAGGCTTAAAGGCTTATCTTGAATTCAACTGCTTTGATAGTACATGGGTTTTTTGGTTTGTTTTTTTTTTTTTTAAATCAGAAAGTTCTCAGAACCTACAGTCACCTATGAAGGCACTACTAGGTTGTTCTAGCTCATCTCAACCAAAGTCATTCTTCACACATCTCAGTTCTCCAGAGTTTACACTAGCCATTCCGCAGTCCATCTTCCCTCACTCCTGTAACATCCCTTACATTCAGCAACTGCACTTCACTATCATGTGGAATATTAATGCAAATGTAGCATGGTCTCTGAGCTATGTGTTACAGAAGTGGTCTAATGTCCATTTATAAAACACTAATGTAAATTTTTAAGATGAAGTAATTTTGAAGTGGCAAGAGCTGCAGATTCAAAAGACCTTCAGATGCCCTTTGGTCCATTTAATTTGTAACACTATTTTAAAGTTTCAATTGTGTTATCAAAGTTGTTACCTGGATGGCTGCTTTTGGTGCAAAAAGAATGCAAAAATCATCATTCTCCGTGGGTGCACCTGCCATTGTGTCGCTGATCAGGTGGTGAGTGAGGGAAGCATAAGCAGGGCTCGGCTCCTGGGACACATTCCCACTCTCGTCTGGGAACAAGAAGAGGTCTGAACAGCAAGGCTCCTGAGTGTGCAACTTTTCATCCAGGACACCTAGACGGAAAGACGGACACTGCAGGTCAGACACGGTGTGCTCGGCACTTCCGCCTACGAAACCTTCCCTACTTATTACAACTGTATGAGTCTGAGGCTTAGGGAGAGCTGAAGCAACACAAACACCTCAAAAGGCAGAACTACCTCAAAAGCACAAGTAGGTGACTCATAATCAACTTGAAGTTCTCTAAGAGAGTAAGGAACAGTTGCTTCCCAGATACTCTGTATAAGAGAAGTTCAAGAATTCAACAGTGGTCGAGTGGTGGTAGCTCTTGCCTTTAATCCCAGCACTTAGGAGGCAGAGGAAGGTGGATCTCAGTGAGTTCAAGGCCAGCCTGGTCTACAAAGTGAGTTCCAGGACAGTCAGGAATGTTACACAGAGAAACCTTATCTCAAAAAATCAAAGGGGGTGGGGGAATTTAACAATGGTCTGTTCCCATTAACTGAAGTTTTATTTTGGTCAAGATTCTGTCCACCGAGTTCAATCTTGGAAACTTCTTGGGCAACATTGTAAAGGGAAGAAAAAGAGATTCATCTAGCAGACCCTCACCCAAAACTACAGGAGTCTCTGCTTACAGAAGGGGTGGGGAGAGTGGGTGAGCTAACTCCTGAGCTCCAGAAACCTATGCTGGACACTTGTTCTCATAAATGTCTCTCTTACAATGAAATTAATAGATGATATCATGTGTGCCAAAAATCTGTACAGGAACACTGTTATCCATTCTTTCTCTATTCATTCAAACTGAATACTGATACAGGATGAACACAAAAATGCTTAAGAGTGCTTTGGCCTCAAGAGTCTCCCAGACAAGCATTTAAACACTGTCAAAGCACTGCAGGCCCCATTCCCATCAGTGTCTATCTAGTGTTTACTGAAGACTCGTGTATAATATGTAATCAAGGTCCCTTCCTATTCAGGCCAGCTGCTGCTATTTAGTACACAGGAAGCTGGAAGCTTAATCCATATCCTTAGTTATAATTTATCCTAAATTACAATGAATGTGACATTTAATTTAATGCAAAATGTGTCATAATACCAGGGATTGTCACAGGATGCATATAGGCCGACTGGCTCTATTGTCAAAGCTGTCCTTCAGTTCTTGACACTAACTCTATCTCCCATGTGTTAGGATCTTAGGCGGGAACGACCCTTCCCAGCTCCATCAAGTATTATTTTAAATTAAAGTTTAAAAAATTTAGAAATAAATATGTTCTCTACCAGGCACTATGACACATGCCTTAAATCCCAGCACTTGGCAGGTGGAGGAAGGTAGATCTCTGTGAGTTGGAGATCAGCCTGGTCTACGTAATAAGTTCTAGAACAGCCAGGGTTATATAAAGAGACCCTGTCTCAAAACAAAACAAATAACTATGTTCATCCAATCAGAAAAACTGTTTTGAAACAAATGTGTCAAGATATTTACATGCTTCCATTTGGCTTTCAAGACTTTACTCATCTGGTCCCTTCCTGCCTTTCCAACTTCACTGTTGAATTCTTCTCAAGCGAATGACACTTCTGTTCCACTGACAGCTAGATAGGAATCTACAGACCATGCATGCCTCCCCTGTACTGTGGCAGACAAATCTAGGACCTTACCAAGATAACCTTCTTCTCATGCACCCACACCCATACACACAGCAAATTAGTCCTGTCTCCACTAGACTCATGAAACTTCCAAATCACATTCCAGGGTATTTTATTGTGCCATTTCTCAATCATTACAAGCAGTAGCGCCCATCTCCTGATGGTCTGTTCTCCCAATAGACAGCAGACACAGCTAATTGGCTGGTACATATCCACAGATCCAATGAGTCTTTAGTAAATTTCTTACTGAAAATGTACAAGAACACAAATAATGTGACCTCAGTGCTCCCAGGAAAAGCCCTTCTCACCATTAGTCTGTGGTCCGACAGGGGCAGAGGCCTGCTGCACGTCAATCTCCTCCATGGCGTCACTCATCAGGTCCCGCAAAATCTGCTGGTCAGCTTCAGGAAGCACTGGACCACGTGAAGATGACCGAACACTGGAATCTACCTACAACCAAAAGGCCAAGGTAAAAATGGCTAAAGCCTGGCAGTCTGCACTCTCGGCTACTTGAAAGGGGAGGCAAGAGGACCACTGGGATCCCAGTACATAGTACACTGCAAGGGGGCGGAGAGCGAGGGCCAGTGAAAACTGCCTGTTGAGAACAACCTTGGAGTCGCTCACCTCACCAACAACAGGAGCAGGGCCCTGCTCACTGGTTACACTCTGCTCAGTAGTTACGTGTTAGTGTAATCATTATCACCTCAATAGCTACCAACAAGTACAAATAAACAGGAACTTAACTCAAATGCAGAAAAAGAACCAGGTCCCTGCAAAGGTGATGGGAGGGGCTTACTGAGAAAGTCTCCTCTGCTCGAACCGTACTGCTGACCTGGACTTTGAGGGGCAGTGGGGATATAAATAGAAGATCTGGATGGTGGCTCATTCACAGGGCTCAACTCTAGTACCACCACTTTAAACCTAAGCTGTGTTCCCCAAGATGTGAGCACTGCTCTGAAATGGAAAGACACAAGTATCTCTGGTAAACTGGACAACATCTTTCAGAACAGAGTAGAAAGCAGGGAGTGTCTTTGGCCACCTCAGTACAGTAGAACACAAGAGGGACGGAAAGAAAGAGTAGGGTGGTCTAAAAGGGCACGCAAAGCCAACCAGACCCTTGCTAACAGAACTGACCCATCTGAGTAGTTCTGAAGTGCCTTGGCCTAACAAAACCTGGGGATTCTGTTCACAGAAAAAGCTGTGAAGAACAGCACTGCAAAATAAAAACACCAAAACACACAGAACACCATACAAGCTGGACACAGGACATCAGAAAGGGGACACTTGCAGCATAAGAAAGAAGTGATCTTGAAACTGAGATGGGGACACCTGTTTTGTTTCTCTTGCTGACTAAGGAAGTCACCCAAGCAATCTAAGTCTAAGCACAAAGGATACCTTCAGCCTCACCTCACTGAGCTGTGATGGAGGAGTTAAGGTATTACAGAGAACGGATGGAAGTACTAGTGTACAACTAAGTCGTTAGGTTGCAGCAGCATCTGCCACTAGCTGCTGGCAGATTTCGACACAACTTGTTTTCTTCCCTAAGAACAGGTGGAAATAACAGAAATCTGAGAAAGTATTATGTTGGCTGAGATCTAAAACAAAGAGCAGACAGTAGAAAGGCTTCCACAGAGGCCCCGGCGTCACCTTTTCAGACCCACTACTCTCACTAAGTGACGTCAGTGGGATGGTGTATCGCCTTGCCTGTACCTTTGGCTTTCTCTGTGGAACTCCAGGCTTCATCTCTGCTTTGTTAGGCCCATGTAAGTCCCCGTAACTTGCGACATACTGAATGAGATTCATTAGCGCAGCGCAGGAGTCTGAGCAGGTTCTGATATGGACGACATCACTGGAACAGTGCAACTCAAAGCGAGGCACAGTCTGGACAAGGCATGGGGAGAAAATAACAAACACTCTTTTTCAGACAAGAGTCACCAACTCCTTACAGAGTCACAGGAACTAAAATATACACTCGTGGACTGCAGAGAGGGGTCAGAGGTTATGAGCATTTATTGCTCCTACAGAGGACCAGGGTTCAATTCCGAGCACCCACAGTGGTTCACAACTGTCTGTAACTCCAGTCCCAGGGGTCTAATATCCTCTTCTGACATTTGCAGGTTCTAGGCGTGCACGTACATGCAGGCAAAAATATTTATATACATAAAATAAATCTAAAATAAAATATATACTTATTTGTTTTGTCACATAAAAAGTACTTAAATCAATTCTAGTTTTCAAATATTTTGACCAAAATTGGGTGAAAAGAAAAACATGTTCCAATACACTATATCTTTTATCTCTGAAGAACAGGATTTAAGTAAAAATTTCCACTTATTGTAACTAACCTGTTCTCCATCAGAATCTGACTTCACTGCAGTTATGGTCAGCTCTAAAAGTCCCATGTCCATCACACGAACATAATCTAAAATGCAATATAATACTTATTGTAGATTTTAAAAACTACTCATCTAGCCAACATGTAACAAAAGTAAACTCTGTTCAAAGCTCACTGCTGGGGGCACTAGGGCTTGTAATGTAAGAGGACACAGACAGGCCCACCCTACTCACTGAGACGTCATCTGACACCTCACTTGATTTTAGCTAGAACAAATGACTAAAGATTAATAGATATTTATATATAGAAAAACATAGCTAACACCATAACATTTTAACCTCAGCTGAAAAGCCAGTATCCACTAAACTCTGAAGATGTATGAAGCATTACTCTCATTCTTTATTAATAAAAATTCAAGAGTCAGATATCAGAGTAATAGCCTGAAAGGTCAGAGAAGCAGAAAAGCCACCAGTTCTCCCTACCTGCTCTGTTCCCTCCTCCAGAGAGTCAGCTCCCTCTCTGCCCCACCTTACTACTTTCTGTCCTAAGTCTTCCAAAACTCTGTTCTTACTTGTGGTCAACTAGCTGACAAGAAGCAAGTTTTATTTGTAAAAACATGTTGAAAATATCACACAACAGATGTAGCACACAATTACTACACATTTGAACATCCATTAAAAGTTACCTCACAAGAACACAGCTTTCCAACACTATTTCACATTAAAACTGATATAGTATACTCACTCATAGACACACACACACACACACACACACACACACACACACACACGCATGCACGCTTATTCTCAACTCACCTCTATTTAGGTTTATAGTGACAGTGTTACACTTGTCAGATAGGAGTAAAGCAGCTTCATCCATGATGATTCTGGGGAAAGAAGATGAAACAGCATCTGAAAAATGGAGCTCTGTGCATGTGCACAGCATCATCAGGTGTACGTCACCCACAAACATGAGTGGGACCCAAAACACATGCATGAAGGTGCCAACACAACAGTAGCTAGACTTTGGAGGCAGGTTGGTTGTTTCAACAGATGCCCAAATCTGAAACATTTCCATTCCAAATTTAACACATATCTGATACTGAGAAATTGACCATAGGCCCTAAAAGGCCAACTGAGAATCTCAGGGATGAATTCCTTCCCTAAAACTGAAACACTGCAGAACTGAGAGATGCTCTCTTGATCACTAACATATCATCCTCCAACATCACGTCAAATTAAATGACTGAATAAGCATCAAAGAAAACAAAAAAACCAAAACAAAACAAAAAAACAAAAACCAACAACAAAAAACCAACAACAAACCTGAAACACAGTAATGAGGGGAGCAGAGGGACATGGCCCTTGAGGAAGGAAAAATGAGCAGCTCAGATGCTGCTGATTTAACAATTTTCCAAGCAAGTAGTGGTTTAGGTAAGGAAGCACTGGTTACTACAACTGATGCGTTTAAACAGCAGCTGGTGCAAGATGAGTTCACAGGTACCTGAGAGTGGAAGAAGATTTATCCAAGGCAACGCTGCTAGAAATGCTGAATGTCTCAACAGTAAGAAGGGATCGGATTGGCAGGTGAAGGGGCCTGGCAGGAAATAGAAGCAGCAGGTTAGCAGCCTGATACAACAGGACTCTTCAAAACACACCTCCAATCTCAAATACTCAATCATGGGACATCTGGAGGGTTTCGCTTTGGTTTTTTCTTTTAGGTTTTTGGTGAGAGAATCTCAGTGTGTACCTCAGACTGGCTTCAAATGCACACTCTTCTTACCTAAGCCTGGGGAGTGTTAGAATTGTAGGTATGCAATACCACAGTAGGCAGAATTATATGCTTTTCAAAAATTAGTGTGTTTTAATTTTATTACAGTTTATTTATTTATATATTGTGTGTGTTTATATGATGCCTGTGTAGAAGCCAGAGGACAACTTGGGAAAACTGGTTCTTCTCTTCCATGATGTGGGTCCCAGGAAATGAACTCAGGCTATCAGGCTTGGTGGCTCTAAAATCAGTGTGTTTTAAATAAGACTCTACCTTGTTCCATTCATGGACTCACCTGTAATCAAGTGCACAGCTCCAAAGATGAACATGAAAAGTTGTAAATGAAGTTGGAGGGTTATATCCCAAAACAGGTTCATCAGCAATATTCAAGAAGTTTAAAATCTACAATCACAAAACATAAATACTTTAGAAGAAATGCCATCTTGCTAGAATACATTTAACAAGTATATAACAAAGCGATTTAGGATGCTACAAGAAAATACAGCCGTTCTGAAGGGATTCATTTCAAAAGTGTGTGCACTCACATTGGGAAGCCACGGAAAGGGAGAGATGCACTGAGTTACCCATAATAATCATCTCACTGTGTGTGTCTTTATCACAGCCTAGTGCTGTGTCCCTTAACTAACAATTAAAATGCTAAAGTACTTGCTAAACTAGAATTTGAAATGAAGAGTCACATCCAATAACTGAATGTCACAGACACCTTAGAAAACCCCATCTTATATTATGGCCAGACCATCCTAACACACCCAGGCCCCTCTGATCTTGGAAGGTAAGCAGGGTTGGACTGCTTAGTGCTTAGGACCTGGATGGGAGAAAATCCCATATATAATACAATTAGTAATTCATGAAAAAACTAATTTTGTTAAAGACGACTTTTCAAAAGTCTGGTTTCCATGAGGTATGGATGTATATGCCTACAATCCCAGCTACATAAGAGGTTGAGTCAAAAGGATCAAAAGTCCTAAATTAGCCAAGAGCTACTTAGCAAGACCCTTCTCAAAATGCAAAACGGAAAGAGGGGAGGGAAGAAAAAGAAAAAAAAGGAGGAGGGAGGAAAGCAGTGGCTGTGTAGCTCAGTGGTAGAGTACTTGCTTTACATGCTGGAGGCTCTGAGTTGGAGGGGTTTCCTAAGAAACCCATTATGGGAAGGTGGAGGAATCTGGGGTGTGTGTGTGTGTGTGTGTGTGTGTGTGTGTGTGTGTATGTATGTATATATATATATTTTTTTCTTTAATTTATATTACTCAGTCTGAAAGCTAGGTCCTCTGCCCCAAACCAGTTCTTTCATACTCCCAAGTAAATGAAGAGGTTATGCTAAGTCGTTCCCTAGCCAGAGTGTGTATGTTCATTACAGTTTATAACAGTTAGCAGAATTACAGCTATGAAGTAGCAACAAAATAATTTCATGCTTTGGGGTCATCACAAAGTGAGGAGCTGGTTTAAAGGGTCACAGCACAGTAAAGTTGAGAACCACTGCTTTAGTGTAATGTATGTAGCAAAAGCTGCCCCATGCCAAATGATGTTTCTGTGTTGTAGCTATTCTCCAGATGTCTTTTTGGGAGTCATTAGCAGGGAGCACATGATTACTTGAAAGATATTTGATACATATTAGATGTATGTGTTTCTTTGATACATATTAGATGTATGTGTTTCAGACACTCAGCAGATACCTAAGGAATATAAAGAAAAGTAGCCAAGGTGGTATACACACACACACACACACACACACACACACACACGTCTAAGTATGTATGTATATATGTATGTGTGTATATATCTCTACTCCTATATATACATTATATATACATACGTGTGTGTGTGTGTGTGTGTGTGTGTGTGTGTGTATCTATCTCTACTCCTAACAGGCAGGCAGGCAGACACTCAGGTAGTCAACATGTTTTCTAAATATTTTCATGAGAAGAGTAGAGTATTTTAAAAACATTCAATAGAGAAAAAAACAAAAACACAAGATTCAGTATTCATAAAGAACAGGTAGCCTCTGCTCAAAGTGAGTTTCTTATCTACAATTCTTACTCACATAAAAACAAACAATTTGATCAACCATGGAATCTTTTTAAAACACATGCCAGGGCCAACAAGAGAGCTTAGTGGGTTAAGGTTAAGCCTGGTGAAGCTGAGTTTGATCCCCAGAAAAAGAGAATCAACTCCTGAAAGCTATCTGGACTTCCACAAAAACACTGTGGCATATGCACACAAGAGTACTACCCTCCTCCCTCCATACACACACACTAAACGTTTAGTAGCAAACAAACAAAAATTTAGAAAAACATTTCAATGAGCAGTAGAGCACTCAGCATGAGTGAAGCCCTAGGCTTGGTCCCAGGCATGAAAAAAAAAAGTGGGTAGATAGAAAGATAATAGACAGACAAAAAGAATATTTTGAACACTACTCTACTCTATATGGAGATTTCAACAGAACATTAATTGTAGAAGTTCTGGTAAAATGGCCTGAGGCAAAATCATACTAATGGCCTGGGGACATGGTGGTCCTTAAAGGGTTTCTGATTTTCAGCACTCGATACACCTCCAGCCGCTCCTCCAGACTAGACATTCCACAGACCTTCCTTTTCTTGAATGACATAAACAGCAACACTGTCATTGAGAAGTTAGAGGGAAGTCACCTGCCTTCTGGGTGAGGAGTCTTTCTTAAGGAGGGCAGGTACACAGTGTGTGCTCATCATAGTTCACCAAGGTGAACATCCACAACTGTGAATGTGAATGCTGTCAGAGGACATGACGGAAGTGACAGCTCTTACCTGCTCGTGCCAGCTGAGTCCAGTCGGCAGTATTCTGTGCTGTAGAGTGGCTCCTTTCAGCCCCACGGCCACGAGGAATTCCTGTTCCACAGGACACACAAAGACCACGTTAATCCATAGAATCCCCAGCTGGAGCATTGCTACTTTTAACAGTCACCTTAGCTGGCAATCAAACCAACAGGAGCATTTAACAGTGTAAGGCACACACCTTCGTATTGGACTCGGATTTATCAGACTCTATCTTAACTGCCACTGAGAGCATATTCAAATTGTCTCCTCCAACGCCGTCAGAGGCAGCTCGGCTGAGACCATCTTCTTCAGAGGAATAAATTGTAGGTTCCAACCAATGTGGGCGGGTTGAACTGGGCAACCGTGTCTCTGTAGCAAGAATGGCTCCATCTACTATGCCTAGATAGATACACATTGAGATAAAAACAACAAATGATCACTTGAAAATAGTTCTCTAATTGCTTTGACTTTCACAACTTAAAACAAAACTCTTTATACAGTATGTTTTATCCAAAATGTTCAGAATCAGAAATATTTGGGATTTTGTGAGGAATGTTCACATCTATTAAATGAGATATTAAAAAAGGAATACAGTTCTGAACATGATTCATTTTTGTGTTGTGTACTCCTTAGACAGCAGGCTCAAGGTCATTCATGTGATGTTTTTGTGCACCCATGTTTTGACAGTGCCCCACCTCAAGAAGTCAGGCACAGAATGTCTACTTGGGGCAGCACGCATCAAGGAGACATCACAGATGTCAGGCATTTCTAAAAGGATTTCTAGGATACAGCCTATATTCTTTTGAGCCCTGTTGGGGGCGCAGAGGTCCTTGCGCTCACAAATAAGCACCAGGGAATCCAGGAATGTTACACACAGGCTGTCTCTTCAAAGGGACATATGTATGCCTGTTTTCTGCCCAGAAGGCTGGGACTGAGGTTGTTAATAGTCTGATGACCTTTGTGCTATCTGGAGACCACACCAGATACTCCCCAGGCCTTGATGACAACATGTTTACCATAGCACGCATTTTCATGGAAGAGGTGAAACGCACTTTGAAAAAGTCCAATAAAATTATGTCTTAATCTTTATTGTGCACACAGGTATGTGTTATACAGGAAACTATTTTCCAAATTATGCTGTGCTCAAATATGCTTAAAATAAGCTGCCAGTGTCAGACTCTAGAAGCTTGAGCCAAGACCTGCTGCTGAGTCATGCTAAACTGGATTTCCTTCTCATTACTCTGCTGGCCATGGTGTTTGCAGAAACCCCACAGAGCCAGCATGGTTCTGGCAGCACAGTGGTCAAGAGGCAGCATGGTAGAAACAGCCTACTTTTCTTTGTCAGCATTGGTATAACTGAGAGCAAAAACTTACAAGAAAGTCAAAAAATAAAAACTCAGATTCTAAAATGCTAGGAAAATAAAAATTTTCTATCCTTGTGCCTAGTCAGGCAACCACTCAAAACATGGTAAATTTTAGTCAGGTGTGGTAGAAGTGCGCACCTATAGTCCTATAACTTGGGAAGCTGAGTTGAATCTCAAGTTCAGGATCAGTGTTGGCTATATCATGAGACCTTGTCTCCAAACAAGAAGTTTTAATCTGTAAGTATGATTCTGGCAACAGAACCAGAATTCCCAACAGAAAACAATTTCTCACATCAAGGTTGTATTCTCAACAAGCTGTCTTTATCATATAGGAATTCAATTGCCAAACAGAAAAGAAAATATGTAATTGTCCTACCTTTGTGGTACAGACTGAGGCTGTTGGAATGTAGGCAGATGTAGTGCTTGTCATCGAAACCTTCATATTTTGTCACACAAAATAATGAGCCGCTGTTGAATTCTAACCAGAATTCACCATGCTTATTTTCCATCGGCTCTCCATTATCTTGCTAACAAAAAGATCAAAAAAAAAAAAAGCTACAAGTTACCTTTTTTTTCTTCCCCAAATTCCAGTACTAGTGATAGAACCTAAAACCCTGCACCCAGTAGCTGGGCTCCTAGTCACTGAGCTGCAGACTCCAACAACCATTGTTAAATGCAGAAAGGAAGAATGTTTCTTGGCATGCTTGTTCTGAAGCTAACTTAGGAAAATCTCCCACATCACAAAAAGCAGCCTATTCAATACAGTGAGATTAAACACTGAATAATGTGTGTGGTATGTAAGCCCTCTGCAACAATGCTTGTGCTTCACCCTCTTTTAAAATAAGAAAGAAAAACATTACAGTTACTGCCCTCACTAAAAGAATTAGCACATGCTTTCCAAAGGAAGTCCATACAGCCTTAGACCAAAAACTGAAGCTAGCTCCCAAAGTAGTGTGTTCTCTATCTAGCATCTCAGAACACTGCCCGTCACTGCCACCACCACCTTACCCCACTTCACTGCAGCAGACTGTGTAAACGTACCTTTACATCTGTGAACACTGCCATTAATCCATGATTGATACTCAGAAGGACTGAGAGGAAACTCTGAGAGTTCTTGTTCTGAGAGTCCAACTTTTTTTTCCTACGGGAACGATAGTTGGGATCAACAGCAGAAAAATACTGCAAAGTCTCTTCTTCAGATCCACTGTCTTCATCTACGCAGGGAAAAGACCTACTATTACAGATTCTGACAGCTAAGCAGGACAGCAGCTTAAAACGATCACAACAGTACTTTGCACTTTTACAGGACAGAACAACAGGAGATATCTGGGTCTCTCAACTGAATTTCAAGCATGTGCATAATCACACTGAACATTCCACATCTGAGCAACAAAGCTCTTGTCAGAACAGACTCAGAAGCAGGGAGATAGTCATAGAAGTTATAGAACACAAAAGAAAACAAAGTCTAAGACACAGTTTAGATCCGCAATCGGAAAGGGCTCCTACTCTGTTAATTTATAAATGAGGCACTTTATACTAGAGCAAAGGTAAGGTACATTACCATAGTGAACTGCAGATTTAAAGGGACTGAAGCTGTCTTTGCTGAAGGTGTTTATCAGCTGACTGGCTACTGAGAGCCCAATGCCATAGGAAATATTCTCAAGTGTCTCCACTGGTGAAGGAGCTGTTGGCTCCCAGAGAAGCAAGTCATTGAAGATCCTAGAAACACAAAGTGTAAAATGAACAGGAAATATTTAAGGTGAAGACAGACAAGAGAACCCCCTTTACAGGACCATATGTGCTTACTGGTTTTAAATGGTGAAAAGGAAATGATCATGTGAAGGAGGAATTTGAGATTAGACACCTAACTAGACACTTGCCCAGTGTCACCCATGTTCTAGACTCAAAGACCTAATCATACCTCTAAGTGTATTTTATTTTTTTAAAGATTTATTTATAATGTATACAGTGTTCAGCCTGCACACCAGAAGAGAATACCAGATCTCATTATAGGTAGTTGTGAGCCATATGTGGTTGCTGGGAATTGACCTCAGGACCTCTGGAAGAGCAGTCAGTGCTCTTAACCCCTGAACCATCTCTCCAGCCCCTTACTGTACCTTAAAGGAGGAAGCTAATGAATAAGAGCTGACAGTCAGGTGTAGTGAAACATGCCTTTAATCCTAAGGGGAAAAAGCAGTCTGTGGCTAGCCTGGTCTACACAGCAAGTTCCAGACCAGCCAGAGCTGTATAATGAGACTGCCAAAAAACAAACAAACAAACAACAAAAACCCACCTCCCAAATGACAGGAAGGCTGCTAAAGCGCCATAGAAACCCTCTCAAAAGTCCTTCCCACCATTCCGAGGGACAGATGGGAGAATCACTATTCCCACTTTACTCATGAAGAAACCACCACAATAAATCATCTCCCCAAGGCAACAAAGCCAAGCAGGAGAAAAGCTGGTATGACATTCAAGATCAGGCCCAGCTTTCAGTTCAATCCTTTGTCTCGACTAGTATCTGAAATAACCTTTTCCCAACAGACAGCTCAACTTCCCTGGGAAGAAGGCATGGGATAACGCATGATAACAAAAAGTGAGGAGAGATGCCTACCCACAAAAGAACACAGTAGAAGAATCACAACTAGGCCCCAGCTGTGCTGTCTCTTCAGTAAATACTTATTGCTACAAAGACATTCTTCTGCCCAGCTTCAAGAAAACTGCAATTCACAGCATTCTCTAGGTATGCGCCACAATCCCTCCTTCCCCTCATCTGCTTCCATCACAGCACCTGTAAGGCTGGACTCCTCCATGCCACCTCTGCCAGCACCACCACGCTGAGAGGGACTTATGCCCAATTATCTCAGTCTGTGTTCAGACTAGCGGCTGTCACACAGCACACAGCTGGCGAGGAAAGGACGAGGTGATGACTAATGGAAGGACTGTAAAGTCCAGTGTGAATACCAGTCGAGGTGCCAAGACAAGAGGCAGCCCTCCCTCCCCCTGGAGGAAGCCAGCATGCAGCCAGCTCCTCATGCCAGTGCATGTCTGAAAAGGCAGCACTTTTCACACTGTGCAGCTCAATGACACAACCAGGGGCACCCGCAGGCCGGAAGAGGAAGTATCCCACACAACAGCAACCCAGTCAGCATCAAACTAGTACAAAAAATATGTGAACTATGCTTGTTGTCATTGCTGTTAGGGAGTTTGGCTGTTTTTGTTTGGTTAGTTTTTAGGGGTTTTTTTTTGTTTTTGTTTTTGTTTTTGACAGGATTTCTCTGTGTAGCCCTGGCTATCCTAGAACTCACTTTGTATATCAGGATGGTCTTGAACTCAGAGATCCAACTACTTCTGCCTTCCGAGTGCTGGGATTAAAGGCAGGCACCACAACACCTGGCTGTTTGGGAGTTCTTGATGGTGGTGTTACTGTTGTTTCTACAATAGGCACCAGGCACAAGTTGGGAGTCAGCTACAACAGCAGGGCACAATGAAACAGCTCGAAGGACGTCAACAGCATGTAACATAATACCAAAGTGAGAAGAAGGCAGGAGTGCTTGGAGGCGGTCACGCAATTCAAACTCACCTGTTATACAGCTTCTCGTAAAAGTTTTTATTGGGCAGTGTTATGTGAATATTTGGTAGCAAAAGTTCCAGCACATAGTGAGAATTGCTGATGGCTTTATCCTGAAACTCTGTCATCTCTACAGGGTCTCCTGGCATCACCATCTAAAACAGTAGTTTAGTGCGAGAAAAAGCATCAAAGAAGCAATCTACGTTTAAAATAGTAGCAGCATTTTTTAAACTACTCTAACATTTACCATAAACACAATCTTTATCTAGGGAGAATACACATCAAGAAAAATAGCAATAAATCTAGGATCAAACTAGCACAAAGAACACACAGATTATCTTTATTGTCATTACTGCTCTTGTTGCTGTTATTTCCTGCTGATGATGTACAACAGGGTCTTGCAATGTCCCCAAACTGGCTTCAAACTTGCTATCCTCCTACATCCACCTCCCAAGAGCTAGGATTACAGCATTCTTTCATAAAGACCTAGCCACGCAGAGTGGCACAGGCTGTAATCCCAAAGAGGCAAGAGGATTACAAGTACAAAACTAACCTGAGACACAGAGAGAAAAGGAGGGTTACCCTCTTTAAGAGGAGGAGACGAGGGGAAGCATCTATTGGAGGCTGGGATAATTACCCTGGAGTGTTCATCACACTTTTACCTGCTCATTCTCAAACATTACTCTACGAGAGGAAAAGGGGGATGGGGCTGGTCGCCTCAGGTCACAGACATCTTTCAGGGAATGAGCCCCTCCTTCTTCCTCTTCCTGATAGTGACCATCGCTCTCTTCCTCCTCTTCAGCTGCTATTCTCTCCAAAATGGAATGCATGGCTGGTGGATTTATTTTCAGTACCATTCTGATCACAAAGATGATTTGAAAAATCAAGACATAGGTATAAACAGCAACATTTTTACTTTTATGCAAATTTACAGAATGAACACTGATTAAATGTTAATACTGCAAGACTGACTTATAAAGCCTATGCCTGCTGTAACCCACTTATGAACAGGCAGTATATATATAACTCAGCATATAACTCAAATAACTAAATAAATGAAGGACATTAGTGTATTCTTGGATAACTGAAAGTCTGACTTTTTGAAAATTTCATTACACCCTTGCGTTTGCTTACCGTGGCCAGTCAAAGTCATCTGATGATGCCGTGTCTCCATCAACTCCACCAGACACATGGAAAAACTTGATGGATGGCTCTCCCTTCTCCTCCTGGAATGACCCTATGGAACCGAGATGGTGTAACTGCAATGTGCTCCTTTCCAAATGATGCAGACCAGATCATTCAGAGCTCTCCAAACCAGGGTGTCATCCACACACCCTCACACTATACATCACTCATTCATTTCTTTCTGCAGTAATGTGGCCTGTGCTAGGCAGAATGTGCAGATAAAGATACCAGTTTTTATTCAAACTAAAATTCTTGACTAGTATTTAGTGTGTAAGATATGTAATTATAATATAGCAAACGTCAGTCACTACCTACTGAGTGCTGGTAATGATTTCCTTGTGTGCATTTGAGAGTATTAGGTAACCTCTTATCACTCACCATCTTATTCCTTTGAGGTAGAAGCTCACGTTTTTGGTGTTTTTGGTGTTTTTTTTTTTTTTAGCTAAGCTGGCAGCCAATAAGCCCCAGGGACCACTTTCTATCCCCAAGCACTGTGGTTTCAGGCACATATGAGGGTGACCTTGCTCATCTTGTTACATGAGTGTTGGGATCTGAACTTGGGTCTTCATGGTTTTTACAGCAAGTCCTCTTAACCACTGAGCATCTCTCCAGACCCAATTATTTCTTCACAGAAGAAAAGTTTGTGGCTTGGAGCTATTTATCTCAGAGGCAGAGCAATTGCCCAGCATTCAAGGCCCTGAATTCAGTCTGCAGCATGGGTAGAAAACAACAAAGAAAAGCTTATCAGCTAATTAGCTACGGTAAACATGAGGACACACGTACACTCTTGGTGTGCACTCTGTACCTGCAAAGTAACTCCACCACACTGGTTTCTCATAGTTTTCCTGTACATTAGAGAGCTTCATGTCACCAGAGATAAGTATGTCAGAGTATACCTAAACATCCTTCATGTCAACAGAGATAAGTATGTCAGAGTATACCTAAC